TAGCGGAAAAGTCTTTATTTGGTGTTGATGGATAATACAGTTTCTACTGTATCATCTTGTATGTAGAAATAAAGACCTTTCCCTTGACATTTCCCTTTTCAATATAGAAATCCACGACCGAATCACGGGCAGGTGTCATGCGGCTTATTGTTGGTGGTGGACGAGCTGCTGAAACATCTGATTCCAAAGGAGCTGTGGTTGTTGGTGTTCGTACACTCAGCGAGGGTGGTCGAGTTGGAGACTTTTCAAGGGAGCAGGCAAGTGAAGCTGTTGAAAACTGTATTGTGATTTTTAATGTAGTACTAAAAAAGGATATGAACTAATTTGAAAGCCATTTGATTTCCGTATAGGTGGAGCTGTTCTGTGTAAATCATTTGATAAACTGTTCGTTGGAGTCAACTGAGGAGTTCATTGCCATGGAATTCCGGTTTACCCTGAGAGACAATGGAATGCAAGCAGCTTTTCAGCTGCTTCACATGGTGCTTGAGGTATTAGATTATAACAAATAAGATATAAAATGCTGCACAACATTTCACTCTTGATTTATTGATTTGCTGGTCAATAGTGTTTTCTTTTACCTGCTTATTCTTTTTCTCTTCTTTTGTTTTTTTAATTTTTTTCTAATTATTTGCTGATAAAGAGTGGTGGTTCTCTGGAATGCAGCGTAGTGTCTGGTTGGAAGATGCATTTGATCGAGCACGGCAGCTATATCTTTCTTATTTTCGATCAATTCCTAAAAGTTTGGAGCGTGCGACTGCTCATAAACTTATGATTGCGATGCTGAACGGTGATGAGCGTTTTGTTGAGCCGACACCTAAGTCACTACAGAGCTTGAATCTAGAATCTGTGAGAGATGCCGTCATGAGTCATTTTGTTGGGGCCAATATGGAGGTGAGATCTCGAACTTAAAAGCTGATATTTGCTTGAGTTATATTAATTTTATTTGATATTTATAAAAGTTTCTGTGGTTTCCTTCAGGTAAGCATTGTGGGTGACTTTTCAGAGGATGAAATTGAGCGTTGCATCCTTGATTACCTTGGTACAGTTAAAGCTAGCCATGATTCTGCAAAACTACCAGGATCTGAACCTATCGTGTTTCGTCAACCTACAGCTGGCTTGCAATTTCAACAGGTTCGGAACAAAGCAGTAAATGCATGGACTTTCTTGTTCTTCTCTTTGGTTTCCCCATCCCCTTAGATGTGTGATTCAAGCAGGATATATTGACATATTTATCTTTATCTTTGGACAGGTATTCTTGAAGGATACTGATGAAAGAGCATGTGCATATATTGCTGGACCAGCGCCAAATCGATGGGGCTTTACTGTTGACGGGGTTGACCTTTTTCAGTCTGTTAGCAAACTTCCTGCTGCTCATGGTAAGTTACACCTTAACAGAACAGACTTAAAACTATGAGTCATCTGATGTCTTAATATTCAACCTTATGGAAACTTTTTGTAATAGATCTGGTTCTGCGCTTGTCTCATACACCAGAAATTCATCTTCAGTAGTATTAATGAAGTTTAGTGATTAGCTCTGAGATAAAGTAGCTTACAACATTTTATTCATGCACTATGAAACTGCAGATGGGCTTTTGAAATCGGAGGAACAATTGCTAGAGGGAGGAGACAGGGAGTTGCAAAAGAAGCTCCGTGCCCACCCTCTTTTCTTTGGAATTACAATGGGTCTTCTGGCAGAAATCATAAACTCAAGGTAACTCTTACTGTGTAATGGTGTTATATTATTCTAAAGCTGAGTTCTTTGCTCCTATTGTACTCTCTGGTTTGGTTCGTGTCCAGAATTTGCTGAGAAACTAACTGCCAGAATGAAGCACTGTTTAGAAAATGAACGCTTTCATCATGTGTCAACAAACATTTCGATTTAAGAGAGTGTCTTTTTATGCATCTGAATGTATTTTTGCTTCAGACCGGAGCCTGTCTACTTACTATGTACCTATATGTTACTTATATATATTCTGTCGCCCAAAGCTGAAAAAGAATTTTTTGCATCATTGCAGGCTTTTCACGACCGTAAGAGATTCTCTTGGACTGACATATGACGTATCATTTGAGCTAAACCTATTTGATAGGCTGAATCTCGGGTGGTATGTGATATCTGTGACTTCAACTCCCGGCAAGGTATGCAGTCTTTGTATTTTGCTTACAGTTAATGTGCTGCTCTTTCATTAACAGTTTTCTTTACCAAGTTTCTCAATTCTCTTTTCAGGTATACAAAGCGGTTGATGCCTGTAAGAGCGTTCTTAGAGGTTTGCATAGCAACCAAATTGCCCCTAGGGAGTTGGATAGGGTTAGTTGTCTCTTTTGCCTTCTCAGCTTAGCTCTTTTTAGTTCGTTTTCTTTGTTAATGGAAAGTAGTGTTGTTTGTAAATCAACAGGCAAAGAGAACTCTTCTTATGAGACATGAAGCTGAACTCAAGTCCAATGCCTATTGGCTTAATCTATTAGCTCACTTGCAGGCCTCATCTGTTCCGAGGAAGGTGATACTCACTTGCATATCCTTAAATGTTTCATTTCTGACATGACTTCTTCTGATGGGGTTGTTGTGGTTTCTCTAGGAACTGTCATGCATTAAAGAACTTACTTCATTATATGAAGCTGCTTCGATTGAGGACATATACGTTGCTTATAATCAATTAAGAGTGGACGAGGACTCTCTGTACTCATGCATCGGGATTGCTGGGGCTCAGGCTGGTGAAGAGATTACTGGTAAGTGTGACGTCTCTTGAGCAAAAACAGTTTGACATCAGTTGTATATCAAAATATTGAAAACTCTGCTGTGCAGTTCTATCGGAAGAGGAAGAACCAGAAGATACTTTCTCAGGAGTTGTTCCTGTGGGACGAGGTTCATCGATGACCACAAGACCAACAACATGATCCACATTTGGCTTGTAAGATAATGTAGGTGAAGACATGTGCCATAGATACGACAGAGAATAAGCGAGATAAACTTCATCAGATTCGTTTTCACGGAAAGTAGCTTCATCAGAGGTTTTCCTGAGAGCTTTGGCATAAGAGGTTTGTATACTTGTGATCACCATCAAGGCTAATAAATGACCCCATTATCTTACACTTCGTCTCCTTCATATTTATAGAAGAAAAAAAAAATAGTGACAAATGTGTACCCTTTTTCTTTTTGGACTTGATCGTTACTACTACGGTGCAAAATTTATGGAGCTGTAAATGTAATTTGACTGATTTTTTTTTTTTTTTGACGTCTAGCTTTATTATTTATTGCAAATTATGAGAACTGTTACATAGACTATAGACTGTAATTTGACTGATTTAAATGAGGTTTTTGGTTTATGACCGGAACAACAAAAGCCGGAGATCCCAAGTTTTCTGATGATGCGCCTTTGGGTGTGGACGCTATCGGGACACGGTCTACACGCTAATCATAAGAGTCTCATAGCTTGGAATCGATTTGTAATTCAGGTTAAGATTTGGTTTCCTCTGAGTTAGTAGTTGTTTTCGTGTCATAGTGGTTAATTTAGGTGGTCTAAGAGATGTTTTCACTCCGAATAGCGGGGTGTTTTCATCTTGCAGTGGTTGTAACAATGCAATGACTCGCGTCGGGTAGCGTTGGATCCATCTATGTGTTCCAGGGTGGTACTAGACAGTTTCATTGCATTTGGGTCAAACGAGTTGAGGTTGAATGAATTGTAATCCTCAAGTTGGTTAATGATAAGTTGATGTTGAGCCAAAAAAAAAAAAAAAATGAGGTTTTTTGCTCTCATGTTCATTTATCTGTAAAATCATTGGGCTCAGTAAGTCTGATAAGAGCTATTATTTTAATGTGGGGGTCAATTTTTGTAGTCAATTAAGAAACCAAGTAAACGAGTTATGATGACTAATGAGAAAAACGAATAGCTGTGGTACTAATTTTTTTTTTTTTTTTTTGGTAAAAGAGCTGTTGTACTAATTGTTTTTGTGGTTCTAATGGTTTTTAAGGGTCACTGGAAAATGATCAAAAGTTTGCTCAAGAAAATAAGAAAAATGATCAAAATAATGGTAAAATTAGATCTATTACCTCTGGTCCTAGAAAAACGTTAAAATAATTAATATAAAAACACTAAAAAGAATGAAAAGATATTTTAGGAAAAAACAAAACTCTTTTGGTTACTAAGTAGGCAAAGACTCAAAAATATAAAAAGGCTCCCTTGTCGTTCTCTATTAATAACGGATAAATTGGCACGAGTTGTTCGTGTACAACATCGTTTTATTTCAAAACTCACAACACTATTGTTTCACGTAAAATCAAGATGATCAATACAATGCAAGACCTACGTAAACATTCACAACACGCATCACTCAACTATTCAAGACTGATACGAAAAAAAAAAACCTACTCAAGACTACTTAAAACACGTCGAAAGTACTTGTGTAAGATTGAATTAGTAACCATCTATTTTGTAGAAATATGTATTCAAAACATTGTATAAAAACAAAGGCAATTTGCTAGAAGTCAACTTCAGAAGTTTCTTACACTAATTTCATGCTCTCTTTTGAATTTTCTACAAATTTATTTTTTGGCCAACACATCCACGAGACAAATAAATTTGGCTTTTAACCAGAAATAGCAAACGTACAAACCTTAGTCTTATCATATTGTAGGGGGAAAAAACTTCTTTTATGTCCTCCGAAACAAAGAAACCAAAGGTATTCGTGTAGAGAAAAGATTTTGTTTCCAAGACTTGTATAGTGTTTTGGTAGCTAAAATAGCTTGTACGCATTCGAGACGTTTTAAACTATTACAATCTCATTCATGGCAAAACAACTCGAGGCTTCTCACAAAAATGCTTCTAATTATTCTAGTGTGTCAGTCCCGATTTAGATTCTGATGAAGTAACTAAAACCACCAAATCATCTGATATATAAACTTGTGTCCTCCAATAAGTTGGAATAGTAAGAAACAAAAAGAAAAATGATAAACTAAATACAAAATAACATTAGACGTACCATAAAAAATGAGGAAATGGATTTTTGAGATTGCTAATCTTTTATAGCAATTCCTGCAAACAAAAACAAAACATAAAATCATGATTATAAATACTAAACATACATAATAACACAACCTAAAAGAAGAAAATAAAATGCTAAAACCTCTTTGCTTTCATTGAGCCATAACAATGACCATATCTCTCTCTTATCCTTTATTGCTGTCCAAACCAACAAAGACCTGATGATTTGTGTAAGTTGCATTTCTTTTTTAAATGGATTGCAAAATAAAGTGCTTAAATAAATTGATAAACTCTTGTTCCGTTGGACTCAAACACACAAGATTCAGCTCATTTGTTTGATAAAATTCAAGAACTATTATTATGAACAAAATTTAATTAAATTGGCCTTGATTATATTATATCTTGTCTTGTTGACGCCAACAACAACAAAAAGAAAAATAAAAAGATGTATCATCAGGAAAATAACTATTTCTAGTGTTAGTATGTGGGACAAAAAATAGTTACAGTTTTCAATTGAAAGAGAGGGGACTCATCTGCAGCAGGAGATGTATTTGCAAAAGAGAGATTCATCATCCTTCTCTCCACGTAAACCCTAAATATCTGAAAACCGCGGATAAGACACACCGATTCAGTTTCCTCTAAAAACCACGTCCCTCCTTAGTTTAGCGATCCACGGCACCTGCTCACAAAAGCAATACATACTAAAAAGTAAGAAAGGCAACAATACTTCTAAACTTCATCTTTAACTTAAGCTGGTATAACACATGCAACAGTAATTCAATCACAAAACTAAACAAATCATCTCACTCAACATACATGTGAAGAATAGTGTGAGATACAAGAAGCAACGAAACCAAGAAAACGTTAAACCAAATATGAAACTGATGCAACTTACTTTTGCGCTCCACAGTTACAGGGGATTTTGTCGTCCTCCAGTGGGAACTTGTAGTTGTAACTTATTTCTTCACCGGCGTCTATATGCCGCTTAGCATAAATGAATATCTTTTTCTTACCCTCTACGCTTATAATCTTGGTGTAACAGTTCGGCTGCAGAAGCACAATGTCTTCTATAAGACCCCAAATCCACAAAACACACTAGCCAATGATAGAAAACTATGCATACAATTACCTCACATGAATGGTTGATAAACCTCGCTATGCCACCACGCTTTGTGGCATCAACCTAGACTCATGGTAAGCAACAAGGGATTCAGAACAGTCGCTCGTTAAAAAATAAAAACATAAACAAGATAAGAGCTAATGTATCACACAGGTGACTAACCACATAACCATCGTCAAGCCTGAAAAGATAACTGCTTCCTATTCCCATCTTTTCATATTGGCGTTCACGTATCTCAGATATCTGTGAGAAGAACATATTAAAATCACAATCACGAACAAATTAAGCGAGAAAGCATAACAGACTGTCCTTTAATAAAACAACAAGGTTCATCAAAGAAGCTAGGATACTGTACAAAACTACTACCACCCACAAAATACTTAATGGAACACATAACCAAACAAGTCATACTTACAGAAGAACGTATCAACTCTCCAACATATTCGATCACAAAGTCCTCAGCTTCAATCGGTTCAAGTGCGACAAGACCCCAATCATGAATCTTGCTTTGTTGAAACCGTAAACGCTTTTTCCTAGCCTGACACCAATATGACACAGAAACAATAAAAGATCAATACACTACACATACATGTTTTTAATAGAGAAACCTAGTTTCTGTTTTAATCACCTTCAACTGAGAAATTTTCAAGACATCAGCCCCATCTGCAGCAGCTAAAAGATTACGCATTTTTGCCCTATTAGTTCTTGCAGAAAGAACGTTCTGAGTCGAATTACTTTTGGAACCAAAATGTTGTATATGTACAGAAGAACTTCCCCTAACACGGGTTCTCTCTTCAGCACTAGCCTTCAACGACCATGCACGCCAATGCCAACCGTTAATAGATGTTCGTGCACATCCAACAGACTTTGGACATGACTGTAACACCTTTTTTTTGCTTGGTTTTGAACTCAATTTTTCCAATGGTTTTAATGCAATCGACTTAACCCTGCCATCATCCACTGACAAATCCTTAATGGGAGAACGTTCTGTTGTATGTTTTGCTAATAGCTTCCTTCTAAGCATCAATTTCTTCGGACCTACTACATAAACCAATCAAATACATGTAGTTTGAGGTAACTGATTTATAATAAAAACAATATAAACCCATGGAAGGTAAAAACTGAAAATTTGTAGGAAATTGCCTTTTTGCAGCTTATCTGATGTATCGCAGGGAAGCTTCTCTTCATTTCCAACATCATCATCAGAATCCTTGGAAGAAAGAGATAACCTCCGACGTGAAGGTACACTCGGGATTTTTTCATCCGACGGGTGCTTTCTCTTTAGTATTGATGATTGCGATGCTTCATGAAAAAAGTACTAAACAGTTAAAATCTGGGGGCCCATGTATTCAAGTAGCCTGATATCTTTTCGAGAAAATTAAGTATGAAACACCAACGAAGAACGACGATAGATACTTACACTTACAGGCCTTCTGTGCTATATTGCATGCTGACTTTTCCACAACTTTTTTTCCTTCAGCGAGTCTCTCGGGATTACCAGTAGGGTTTGACATATCCTGACCGTGCTTCGCAGCAACTACTGGAGATAGTAATTTAGTAAAGCAATTGCAGGAGGCATTCTCAAAACCTGGGAACTAAAACAAAGAGATCTTACTTTTCCTTCTCTTGCTGCGGTGTTGAGGGGAAACCTTATCACTGGTGACAAAACCAAGGCTTTCTGTATCACCTTTCTTTCCAGAAATCTCAGAAAAACCTCTTACTGCTCCATTGTGAGAAGATTTTGTACCTTCGACTATGACATCTGACATATTCTTTCTCTTTAGCTTTGATACATGAGCTGCATTTCAGAAGGATGATATCAATAGGCCCGGGTTTCATGGTAAAAAAGCTCAAAGTCAAACGACACGAATTAGAATGTGTAGGAAACAAATAGAGCAGTCTTTTACCTTTTTGCACTTTCTGAGAAGACTTATTTGAAAGACTTTCCTCATGATCTGTGCGGTCAACGGTTTCTTCAGATTCTTCAGCAGACACTGAAATCTCCTCACAGGATTTTGCAGCATTTTTACGTTCTCTTAACTCCTTTGATTTATTCCTAGATATTCCTAATAGAATATACACCAAAAAGAACATGAAAAAAAAAGAGAGATAAACCCTGATACCAACATAGAAACAGTACAAAGAAAGCTTACTTCTTAGTCTTGTTATAAGAAGTTCGTCATCAAATTCATCTGCCCTTTCAAGATCTTGGCTTTTATCACAGATCACCTTACTAAAAGCATCTTTGCCAACATTTTCTTTCTGAAACTTCGTCGCATCCTTTATGATACCTGCATAATGATTAAAAAATACAATATAAGGTAACAGTCAGGTTTCTCTAATTCAGATGAAAAAGGCTAAATATTACATACAATGATCCGGCCGTTCAGTATTCCTCATCTTCTGTTGACTTAGTTTCCGAACTGACAAATCTATACTGGGTGTATCGACTTTAAGGGCTTCTTTCATGGAATGAGAATCTGACAGTTTCTTAGATCGTTTAACCAGAATTTTGTCAGACGATCCGACACATGGTTTCCTAGGCTTATCTGCTGTTTGATTTGAAATATTAGACTGTACTAGCTTTTTGTTCCGAGTAACAGTTTTGCGCTTCTTCAGTACTAATGTTTCTTTACGAGAAAGTTGATGGCTTCCTTTCCGTGAAGCAAGGAATTCGTTGAGATGACACTTCATGAACAGTGATTTCCAATCTTTCATAACATCACTGTGCAACTTCTGTCTACATAGAGCCGTTGCAACATATGCTTTAATCTCTGGAATGGTTTCCTTGGACCTTACAGGCCGAAACTTACAGGGCAGAGATGGCATTTTAATACTGCTTTCACATCCAGGTGGTGGTGGCTCATGCATATCCAGAGCATCAAGTTCATCACTAACAGGAATGTCTGATGTCTCCAATGTTGTACTAAAAATATCAGCGATAATATCTTCAGATGTGATTTGCTCAGAGGATTCTCCCTCTTGCAACAGTCTCTGAGAATCACTGAAATCATTGGAAAACCGCAACTTAGCAGAAACCACATTTAAGTCATTCTGCTTTTCACCAGACCCTTCCAGATTATACTGTTCACGGAAGGAACCCTGAAGAGATGACACGTTTTCCTGCAGTAATTTGCAACAATTTGAATTCAGCCCCCACTTGCTACCATATGAAAAAGAAGAAAAAACAAGAAAGGATAGTATTTCCCTTAGAAAACTTTCAAAAGTTCCCACACAAGGAGATTTTGTCTCCTTACCTCATGCATTTTGCCATCTCGTGCCGTACTAGTAGTATTATTCGCTCCATCTTTAATGAGAATACTAGTATAATCAGTTAGGTGAGTTTCAAGAGACAGAAAGAGTTCACTTTCAACATGTTCTGAGATGCTTGCTATGAGACTTTCCGTTCCATCAGTATCTGGTAAGGTTACTTTTCTAGATGACATTCCACGAACGCTGGCTCCATTGGTAGGTAAGTCGAGTTCATTAGAGTAAGCAGTTTTAGAGGAAGAGGAATCCACCCTACAAGTAAACTGCAAAACATTAAAAATGACATTCATTTCATTGATGAGCAAAGCTAATTAGAAAAAATGACACTGAATCTATTAAAGTCGTGGAAACTTTTTATAAGCTCACACTCTTAAATGCTTCAGGTTTGTCTGAATAATTTCTATGGGAACCTTTGCAGTAATTAAGGGTCGAGATATCAGAAGACTGAAACCAAAGTTTTTTCTTTCTCCAAGATGATGAATGAGTTGCCACAGTATCATAAAAAACAGCATTCCACATGATTTGCATGCAATGGTTGTGAAGCGTTCTACACACAGCTGAGCAAGATGTCTGAAAGTTCTCAATGCTTCCAACAGATTTAGTATATTTGAGCGACTCTGCAGCTATACTACTCTGACCCCACTCATTCAATATGTTCTTACATCCTGTTGTTTCAGTGTTTGAGACAACACTTTTCTCCGCATTAATAACTTGAGACTGCACAAACAAAAAGTTACCATATTAGTGTACGATTCAATGATAGCCCTTGGAGTTTTTTAGTTGAATGTATAATTTAAAAGGACCAACCGATATGGATTCAACAACATGTGCAGCAGAAGTGGGTGGATAAGACTTGAGATGCTCATCACTTTTCTTGGCCTTAAGAAAGTCTGAAATCACACTGCTGATGATTTCATCGAGTAGAGCTCTTCTAGCTATTTTTATTATTCCACTCTGAAGATGAACAGAGAGTTCTTCCGAAACTTCGGATATGAAGCTCTCACCAGTCAATGACTCGTCACAATTGGCATCACTACATTTCACCCTCCATACACCAATTAACGATGCTAATGTGATTGGTCTAAGCTTATTTTCACCATCACGTATCTGCAAAACAAAACTCTTAAGCAAACTGATAGAAACAAGATGCCTTGATCTATCACAAACATTAGAAAAAGGGGAGATAAAATTTATTCTAACCAAGTATTCTAAAATCGTAAGTAAAAAGCTTCAAAACTGAAAAGAAGGGGTAGGGAGATTTCCAAAATAGGGATGAGACAAGAAGTAACCCACATTGTAATTGTCATTGCATCTGTGTGATATTTAACTAACCACAATATTTCAAAAATCTTTAAAAGTCTATATTCATAACAGCTTACCAGGGCTGCATCTGAAACATATCCATGCTGCTGCCAGTTATAAAGCTCCAATATAGAATGTGGTCCATGATTTCTACCTTCACCATCCACAAGAAACCAGCAAGCATGTTCGTTTCCCTGAAAGAAAACCCAAAAATTACAGAAAATTCTTATGTGAACTCGGGCCATCATGTCTGATGAACTTGTGAACTGAGTTTTCACCGTTGAAAGGAAGTTACCAATGAGAGGAATGAAGCTAACAGATTTGACTCATCGTGGTTTAATGTTAGCTGATCTGAGACAGGACCATTAGAACAGGTCTGTGGAGGTAACGTCTGATGGGAAATCAAATGAGTAGCAGAAGTTCCATGCTCTGTTCGAGTCTCATCTTGATGGACTGTGGCATTACTACTAGAAAGAGAAAGTGAACTAACAGGTGGGGTTACACTTATCATTCCATTTTGTAGATATGCAAAACCAGTGGCAACATGATCTGGAAACTGCTTGAAGTACTTTAACGGTACAGAATTTGCAGTATAACCATTGATAATTGGATATACAAGAAGATCCTCAGGTAAAAAACCAGTTGATAGCCCATCATATAGCTGTTGTTGCGTATAAGGGCCACACATCTGACCTTGCTGATTACCGTACATCCAACCGCTTGCATACATGGTATATCCTGGAACACTCTTGTCTAGACCTGGAGCTATGCCACTACCAGAAGCCTCTTGACCCGCACGACAGTCTCCATTGGACCGACATCCCATCTCCAAGGCTGAATCCAAACCACACAGTTCATCAAAATCGCAACTGGCCGAAGACACAGTCGCCAAATCACCACAGCTGAAAAGCAAAAATACACTTTTTTAAGCTCGACCATACAATAGTTAAATCATAACTACGAAAAACTAACAACAAGTTGCACCTGTCACAAGAGTAATCTTGAGCTACTTCCCTTGGAGAGATTGAAACATCATCACTGTAAACTCCCATACACATTGAACCAAAAAAATTCGGTTCCAAAGCAGAGACTTTCTTCCTTCTACTAGAACTAAAGCTACCATGGCTAGAGAAAGAGGAATCAACCGCAACCATGGCCCCGATAAACTCGAGATATCTTCTCTACACGAAAAACATGATTAGAAGATCAATAAAAACACAAGCTTTTTCCAATTTTTAGACTGGGTATAAGCAAAACGACGTAAACAATGTCATCAAATTTGAAATCGTACTCAAATCAGTACAGAGAGGAACACTAAAAAAGATTACAACTTTTAAAAAAAAACATTCTGAAATCTGGGAACAAAAACGATCGCCAAGTTTGTGTACAGAGCAAAAAAATTGAGTCTTTCATTATATCAACTTCTTAAAGAAGACAATTTGCATGATACCCAGATGCTGTAACATTGAATCGATCAGAGAACCAGTAACGTGAAGGTGAAACACACACAAAGGAAAATCATCAAACCTCGAGAAACAGTACGGTAGGAAAAAACATTACATACCTAAATTTCGAATGAAGTGAAGCAAGATCAAGGTAGCGATGAGACTGTGATCAAATTGAAGTGAAATTGATAAGGAGACATAGAAGAAGAAGAAGAAGAAGAAGAAGAAGAAGAAGAAGAAGAGTTTTTTCTTATCAACGAATTAGAAAGAAAAAAAAAAGGAAATAAGAAAAGAATGACAATTAGGGTTCGTTGATATAAGCTGGGATGATGATCTCTACAGAGTTTTTAAGCCATCTCAGCAATTACTTGCTTAGTTTTTAGGTACTAATTAATTAATATTGTCGCGGTACGTATCAAGTTTATCGATTAGAAATTTTGTCGTATATCGTCATTTAATTTAAAATTTTATAATATATATATCATATTTTTTGTCAGTTAGAAATATGGGAAAATTTCAATTAAGTTTTCATGTTATTTATTTGATTTTTTTCCAATTAGAATTATATGAGATCAATGTATACTTCTTCTTTTTGTAAATATTTAACTTAATTATTGTAAATTTGATTTTTTTTACTTTTTTCCATTTTTATTATCTATTATATTTTAATTAACTATAATTTTCATATTATTTATTTTAATATTTGTTTTCTATTTTGTATTATATAAGATTCATATATCATAGTGTTTATAATTTTAGATTGCAACATGAATGTGTCATGGGGGTTTAATCTATTATTTATTTTATTTTTCTTTTTCTAATAAAAAAAATATGATTATTTAAAATAAATTTAGTATTGTTTATTTGAATTTCTTTTTTAACTAGTGTGAGGTCCTTGAAAGTTTTTTTTTTTTTTTTTTTGAAAAATGGGGTCCTTGAAAGTTTTGAAGAAAATACCTTTTTGATGTGCCATTTTTCAAAAATGCCACATTGAGCTGCCCATTTCAAAAATGTCCCTAATTAAATATGAAAAGTTTATAAAGTTTGGTTTTACAAAGTTTACTAGGTACTTCTGGATGGTAACCACTACTTGGAGACTCGATCCAAGTATTTATAAACTTTTATAAGGTTTTACAAGGTATTTACAAGGTTTAAGAAGGATATAATGGTAGTTTATGTATACTTTTGTAAGATTTCACATATTTTGGTAGATCACAGATTTTTAGGGCATTTTTTACGAAGTTCAAGAAGGAGGACATTTTTGGAAAGTGATATTAAAAAAGAGCATTTTTGAAATTCCTCCAATATTTCTAGATTTTTAATTTTAATTTATATATTTTAAAAAATTATCTGAGATTCATATATTATCGCTCTTTTGATTTTTTTTTTTTTTTGTCAACCACACATTTATTAAAGGGAAAATTGGAAATAAAGGACAAATAATTAAACTATTGTCCATCTATGCATTCTATATTCATGATTGGTCATATATACTTTAATATTGGTCATATATGATTTAATATAATTAAAATCTCAATATGCCCCCAGTCTTTTAAAATCTTACTAAACTATTAAAAAAATTCAAATTTAAATTGATTTCTTTCTAAAAACAATTTGGAAAAAATATAGGACAAAATCAACATTGATTTACATTCCATTATTTGTTTTGCCGTAGATAATTTCATATCTTCTTCTTCTTTGATTCTCTTGCTCATCAAAGTTAAGCTTTCGTAATTGTTCTCTCCTCTCTAATAACGCCATATTAAATAACTTTTTTTTTCTTCTTCTTCTTCAATCTCTCTATCTATCTCCCTCCCTTGATTTCAATTTCGTAATGGAGCGCAACTGTAATTTTCCGGGTTTTGAAACAAGAAATTAAGCGTAATCTATAGGAAAAAGTGTGAAGTATAAAGAAAAATTCTAATTTGTGTTATAATTTATTCACTTAGGTATAAAGAATTTTAAAGTATTCAAAATTCAACTAATTTTTCGGGTTTTGAGACAAGAAATTAAGCATAATCTATAGGAAAAAGTGTGAAGTATAAAGAAAAATTCTAATTTGTGTTATAATTTATTCACTTAGGTATAAAGAATTTTAAAGTATTCAGAATTCAACTTATGTAATCTGCAGATGTAATCAAATTCACTATATTCAATTTCCATATTCTAAGATTTTTTAAAAAAAAATCTAAATTAGATAGAATGTACTTTCTAATTTTTATAGAATAAAAACAAATCTTAAGAATATGTTTTCTAACATTCTTAGAACATGAGTAAATGTTAGAAAACATATTCTAATTTTCGTAGAACAAAGAACAAAGTATAGAATATGTATTTTAAAAGTCGTAGAAACTAGTATTCTAAATACCGTAGAACAGAAATGACTTCTAAATTTTGTAGAACATATAGAGTGTGTAGTATACATAATCTAAATTTTATAGAACATGTAGAGTGTATAGAATATACATTCTAATTTCAGAAGACATATTGTAAACTTTATAGATAAAAATTTATCCATCTAAAACGAAAACAAAACAATATATTTTTGACATTTTATATATCTTCATGTCTTCTTCATCATTTTAATACATATTTTTCATAATTATTTTTGAAACAATTGGTTCAATCTTATGCAAGGGGTAGTTTAGGAATAGTTCATATTTGTTCATAGAATTCATATATGGACAAATACTTAAATATTTATCCTTTATTTCCAATTTTCCCTTTATTAAAATACTCCTTGATCGGTTGCCCAATTAGGAGGAGAATCGTTTACACTTTTTTTAATTATGTCAAATTGATTTTCTTTTTCAACCTTTGTTATATGGTAATAGATTCATAGCAATTTTTTTTTATTATCATCCGAAATTACTTAGAGCTCAAAATAGTCATTCCTGAAAAATTTTGTTTACAATATTCATAGCAATCTATATATTTAATTTTCATATCTAAGTCTTTCTTATAAATACATCATAAAAATAATTGATATGTGATATATTTTTCAACACAATAATTTTTGTAGTTAAAAAACTCAAAATCATGCTTGATATGTAAAAAAAAAAAAGCATATGCCTTAGGCCACCAAAAAGGACACAAATAAAAGGCCAAATGTTTTCTAAATTAGGCTAAGCATTTATTTTTATATATAGTGTTTTAGGTTTTTTTTTTTTTTTGGAAACAAAACTCATACCTTTGTTTTGGTTTCCTTTACATTAACTACTAAATCTCGTTTATTCATGATTTTTTTTTAAATTGAGCAACATTCATTTTTTTTTTACATTTTAAAATATATTTCTCTAAAAAAAAGACTTGGTTTTCGAAGCCACGTCACATAAGGTAAACTATTTTTATTATCTTCTTTTGTGTATTTATAAATGTTGGTTTCTCAATAAAATTAATATTTATATTAAAATTAGAAAAACTCTTATATGCTAAATCTAAAACTCCAATTATATTAAAAATTATCACGCAAACTTTAATATTTTTTTAGTGCATCATCTCACAATATAAAACTAAAATATTCATTTTTTTCCTCACAAAAGTTTTTTGTATTTTTTTTAATTAACAAACCGTGGTTTCTCTTTTGTACGATCAAGTTCAAGAACTTATATTTTTCTCAGCTTTTCTACTACCAAGAAGAGAAAATTATTTAGTTTTTAACCACAATCATCGTCATGAAATTTTTACATCATAGAAATTGCAATTTAGCATGTTCGTTAAAGTAAAAAACAAATTCTACTTATAAGAGAGAAAATATTTTGATAACTATTCTTAAAAATATTTATTAAAAATATCTATTTTAAACGTATCAACAAATGACATTTCACTTCAAAAATAATATTTTGAAAACTATCATTAATAATATCTATTTCACCAGAAAATAAACCGACGCGTGTTGTGGATTCAAAACTTAGTAAAATATAAATAAGTAATTGCTTAGGAACATATCAACGATTTTTTTTTTGGATATGTATTATTCTTATAAACATAGTCTCAATGTATCACAAGGAGACCATATCAACACTATCGTAATTTAATTAGTAAACAATTCATTCTCCACACACAAAATTATGTTGTCATCTTCTTACCATTTATTTGTTATTTTTTATCTATCACTTTTTTTCTCAATACCCTTTGTAATTTTGATTCTTAAATGGTATTTTAACATATGTCATGTTCAATATTTTCTTAACAATTGTTTTTCAGAAAAATACATCAAATTGCATTTATCTCCCTTATAGAGAATCCGTTAAATAGTCAATAGAAGATTTATAGATATAAATAACAACATTATTTTTATGTATTTCCTCCGTTTCAAATTATTTGTAGTTTAAAGTTTTTACACACACATTAATACAACATTTAGTTTTTCTATTTCATCTCTAACTAATGTATTATTTTATTTGATATCATCAATTAATAAGCTAAAAGAATAAGAATAAAAGTGGAAATTTTTTTCAAAAATATGCATTAAAAACCTAAAAAATCAACTAATTTGAAACAAAATTTAATTTTTTTAAAACGACAACTAATTTGAAATAGAAGGAGTAATGGTTATTGTGATTGAAGATGGAATGTAAAAACATTTAGTGAGACTAATTAATAGTTGTCGGTTATTTTTATATATTTTGGTAACAAAAGCTTATGTTTATCTTCTTTCTATATCTATTTATTTTCCTTTTATAAGTATCTTAGTATATAAATTTTGTGTGGGGATAGATACATGTAAGTAAATTTAAAACCTAAAATATTAAAAATTGTAGTGTAATGCATATAGAATATTTTAAAAAGGATAAGGGGGATTAGGGTTCAATTAAATGGTTTACACATGGACAATTTGTTGATGTAATTGAGTTAAAAAATAATAAAGGGTTAGGATTGAATATTACACAATAATGAATTGTGTATAATTCATCTATTCCTAGTATTTGAAGAGGTTAATTAAATCGGATTTAACTATATCTCTGTGAAGCTTATTGAATAGTTTATCTATTTTATATGTTTTAATAGTTTATTTATTACTATTATGTATTGCATTATAAATGAATTATGTATATATAATGCTACTACAGATAATGTGTATATGTTAATTAATAATTTATTTATTCATTTTGTTGGAAAAAGTTAATTAAATCGGATTTAACTATAT